ACCCACATCAAGCATTTTCTCTGCCGAACTGAGTTAGAGGGGCAGGACATTTGCAGTTTCCTCACTGTTTCCAACTGAGAGCTCAAATGTGTCTCCTATTCCCTTAGCCTCACAATAAATCTGTTCAGGAGGAAAAAATATGTATGCCTTTTTACAGACAGTCAGACAGCCCTGCTATACACAGAGATTAAAAATAGTGTCTTCCACCACCCTTAAATGGTGCAGTCAGAACCAGATTCTTTAGCCCATCACAGGCCTTCTGCGCAGGAGGGTGGTTTGGTAGGTCTCAGAGCAGCTTAGGAGCATTTGGGAAATGCTTCATTCACTGACAGATTACTGGAGTCCAGGAGAAGGGCAACAGGCATCCCAGAGAGGCATATCATGTTCCAGCCTGACTCTGCCTCACAGCCTCATCGTGGACGGATAGACCCCCCCATCTTGTTTTTTTCAAGACAGGTTTCTCTGTGTAACAGCCCTGGCTGTCCTGGAACTCACTCTGTAGACCAAGCTGGCCTCAAACTCAAGAGTTCTGCCTGCCTCTGCCTCCCGACTGCTGGAAATAAAGGTGTGTGCACCACCACTGCCAGCGTATAGACCCCATTTTAGGAACAAGGAACCAAAGATTAGAAGAGACCCAAGCCTTCTGCTTCATTCAACTACCAAGTGACTAATGGGTGTCCCTAGGCCACTCTGTCCCCCAGAACAGACAACAAGGCCTGCGTCCCCATGTCCTCAGGACTACTGGCTACTGTCTCCTGAGAAGGAAGATGGCCGTTTCGTCAGTTACCTCAATGCTGCTGATCAGCTCTAGGTAGCGAAGGTCCTGGACTCTGGTAAAGGCCTATGGGAAGAAGGGAAAAGAAGAGAGTCAGCTGCCTTCTCTTTCTCCACGGGCTGATGGGGGTGGGGCACATGGAGCTCGAGAGAGCGAGCCAGCAAGCAGGGAAGGAAGTCTGATTCATCACTGTGTGCTTGGGAGGTGTGCCACCCGGCGAGGCGCAGCCTGTCTTCATCTCAAGGATTAGTCCTCACAAAGAACTGTGAAGAAGGCCTGGGAGCATCAATCATTTTGGGATTAGGTAAAACAGAACTATGATCCTGGAGTCTGCAGTGGAACCCTTTGCCAGACACGGCTCATAATGGGAAGGCAGGCGGGCTGACTCCAGTCAATGGCATCCGCAGAGTAGGCAAGACAGAGACGCTTGTCCCTGTGACTTGGATGAGGAGCAGCACACAGCTCTGCTAACCCAACGGGGCACACGGGGCACATGGGCACACGGGGCACACAGACACACGGGGCACACGGGGCACACGGGGAGAGGAGGAGGGGAAAAGCTCAGGGAAGAAGAATGCGTCTGAAGGAGGACGGCAGGGAATAATCTCCCAGTCTCTAGAAAGCAAACTTGCATGTTAGCCCTGAACATGCGTCCTCTCTTAGACTCCTGGCAGAGGGAGACTTCTAATGCACGGATTTCTGGAAGGTTGTGAGGGTCAGGCAGAGGTGCCAGTGAAACGTCTTTTGCTGCTTTCAGGTACCACAAGGGGCTTATGGGAACTGACCTCCATGCGCTCTGCCGGTAACATTTCTACCCAGCTGCACTTTCTGTGTTATCCATGTGAAATGGACTGACACATGCCCAGAGCAGCAGCTCCTGAGCCATTATGGTTTCGAATGCACAGCAGCCCTTGGCCACTGCAAGGCACCCTCTGTGCTGGAAGAATGAGGGGAATGATCAAGTCATCAGCTTCCGGCTGCCTTACCAATGACCACAGGGTGATTTCATCCTCTCACCCTACAGGACCAGGATCTAGTCAAAGGCTGGGGACGCATGCATTTCACTTGGCCTCTGTCCCCCTCCCTAGTTCAGGGGTTCACAGTGGAAAGGGGAAGCTAGGCAGATTAAACAGAGAGCTAAGTCTCCCTGAGCCAAGAGCTACATAAGCATGAGGCAGATACCCTAGGGAGGACACTTCCTGTCTGAGCATGGGCAGTGGCAGACTGCAGGATTAGGCAAAGCACTGCCCAGGAGGGACCTGGCAAATGGCTTTCTTTCTAAAACAGGGACTTACTATGTTGTCTAGGCTGGCCTTGAACTTCTGCACTCAGGGGATCTTCCTGTCTCAGCCTGCTGAGAAGCTGGGGCAAGAGGCACATGTGCCCAGCACTTGGCTTTTCTTGAACTGGTAAAAGGGTATATCAGGCAGCGTGTGACTAACGGTCCGGTGGCACTATGTCAAAGGCCTCACAAGCTGCCTTCCTCATCTGTTTCTTGAAACAAGTACAGAAATCGATCCCTGGGGCTGGGCAGAGGAGAAAAAGGAGACTCGGGTCTCAGCCAAGCTCTGAGCCCAGGCAGGACCTTGAGCCTACTTCCGCCCTGCTCTTTGGCTCCAGCCACCTTCTTTATGGTCAGGCAAGCGAGGCCCTCTCCAAGAGTCTTTGTGGTTCTGGGCACTGGATTCCTGAATTTGACAATCGGCCGTTGACATCCTTCAGCCTGATAGACCGCAGAGTCACGGTGCTATTCCGAGTGGTCAGTCACAAGACTGTGAACAACTTCCACAGCGGGGAGTGGGGAGCAGGGAACAGATGCGCCGGCAGTACTAAGCAGCTCTCCACCGCCATCTAGTGGGGACACCTCTCTAGGCCAGCCCCCCTCCCTCCACAAGTCTAAGTACTGAGTGACTGGCACCCAGGGGAGAGGACAGCCAGGGATTCAGGAGTGAGATAAAACACTGGTCAAGGTCTATGATCCAAGCTTCCTGCCTTTTCTAAACAGCATGCTGCCCACAGCAGTGTACACACAACTTTCATTTGTCACAGTTCTAACAGAGTCCAGTGCTCTGAAATGATGGTGTCTACTCTCAGTGTTCTGGGATGCAGGGTAGGTTCGAACTCAATCCAAGGGTACATCCCAGTTTCAGTTCCCTCTAGTTAGACATCTGCTCTGCAACTGACAGAGGCCATGTGCAGGGCAATGCTAGCACGAGCTGGCTCTTAGGGTCTACCTGAAAAGGGTACAACCTAGAGGGAGACAATTTATTCCTAGGTACAAACAAGATATCCTAGGAGTCTGTTGTCACTCCTCACATGCTGGCGTTTCTGAGTGGGCAGGAGAAGTAAGTTCCTCCAGGAGAAGCCTCCCCTCCCCCCTGAATCCCCACGCCCTGGTCTAATATTTCCCCAAGGTTATCTGATCTACAAATACGCAGGTAATCAATGGGTGGGGTTATTTCCCCTCATGTGCTGTGGATTGAACCAGGGCCTTGTGCATGCTACCCAGTGCTCTACCACGGAGCTGTGCCTCCAGGTCTGGGTAGAGCTGGCATGTGCACAGCCACTCCAAACTGCTCCTTACCAGGCCTGGGGAGGCCTCAAGAGCAAGTCCAAACTGTGGGAAGAGCATGATGCATTTCACAACCCCACTTCAGAGCAGAGGCAGAGAGGTCAGGCTGAGAGAAAAGCCTAGAGGAAAGGACTGTGCTCTAGTGTGCTCTGAGGTGTGCTCTGGTTCGGCTGTCCTCTGTTTAACAGGAGGCAGGCACCACATACGTCTGCAGGTCCTTCGACACCAGTAGCCTGAGCAAAAGGAGACTCGCTACTTGGCTCTGGGAGAGAAAGCAGGAAAGGAGAGAAGGGAGAGGCTGGAGGTCAGTCCTTTCCCCTCAGTCTATCAGATGGAAACACATCTGGGACTCTTCATGTGCCTAGACAAAGGTTAACTGCTTTTGACCATTTCTTTAGCTTTAATCGACTAGACCGGAAGCGACAGTATGAATCACACCGTGAGGGTGGGGGGCAGCAGCACAGGGCTGTGGGAATCCGAGCCTGAGGACCTCTTTGCACTAAGCCGGTACTAAGAACAATGTGGCGTGCTGGTGGCCGCTGTTCATGCCCAGGCTAGAGACACTTGACCGCTGAATGTCTGTCCTGCACAGGCTTTTGTCTAGGTTCTTCATAAATGATCGCTCCCAAAACTGACAGCCAGGGTCAACCAGATGTTTTAATGACAGCCAGGGTCAACCAGATGTTTTACTGGCATTATCTGCTTAAGATCTTCCCAACTTTGTGAAGACAGGGCCTAGTCTCCAGAACCCTCTAAAGAAAGAACCTTGGGAAGGGGTGACTGAAGAGAGATCAGAACTCAGGGCAGTCTGACTTCAGAGCCCATTACAGGCAGTCCCTGCCCCTCCAGTGTTAGCTGGATCCCTTCTGCCTCAGGAGACCCTCCAGGACCAACTTCCGGCCAAACAGACTAGACGCATACCTTCTTTGCAGGCCAAACAGACTAGACGCGTACCTTCTTTGCAGGCCAAACAGACTAGACGCGTACCTTCTTTGCAGTTTCAAACTCTAGTCCTTCTAGAGCTTCCATGGCCAGTTCACGCCAGTCGGTGTCTGTCACTCCCAGACAGGCGATCTGGTAGGCTTCTCGGAACATTTTCCTATCAAGGTATTGGTACATCGGAGCAGACTGTGGAGTTTCAGAAAAGGGAGAAAGTTAATAGTCTGTTCAGAGCACTGGAAAGTGTTGGATTCCAAGCAGGCCTGCTTCCAGATGTTCAGAGCAGTATCACGGGAAATGCCTACCTCAGACTTCAGCCATCAGTCTGCACCTTAGTAGTCTTGCCCTGGCCCACCTGGGTGCCCTCCTTTCTGCCACCCTCTCCTGCTGGGCCATAGCACTCCCAACATACACTTCTGGCTGCCATCTGCCTTCCCCTTCCCTAGGCCTACCTGACCCTAATATGTCACCTTCTCTGGGAAGGCTCTACCCTACCCCCCATAGGAAATGCCTACTTGGCTTTGTAAGGCTCTGCTAGCAGGTCCCTCCCGGAAACTCTTCCGTGCTTTCTCTTCAAGCTGCCCCTGGCCTCTGTGTAGACAGACCTTGGGCTTGTGCTGTGCCCTGGTTCCACAGGGGCTCTGGGGTGAAACCCTGCACACCCTGTGGCAGCAGCAGGGTTATATTCACTCCCAGCAGGTCCTCCATCCCTGGCCAGAGGAATGAGTCACATGACCAGGAGGGAGACAGAAGAGGGATGGCCTCTTCCCAGAGGGACTGAATCTGAAAAAGGCATGGCTATGGAATTTGCTCCAGACTGCCTAGGAAAGCTCTGAGGACAGATCCTGAGGTCTCTGGTGCTGAAGACCAACTCTCCCCTCAAGACCAGGCTGCCTAGCTAAGAATATCCACAAGAATTCCCTAATGACTTCTTTTTTTTAAGGCTATCAAGAACTCTGCAGTTGTCCAAACATCCCTGTGTTACCTCTGATAACACCCAGGAGGAGACTCCTGGAGGACACATGACTTGCCTGAGGTCATAGCAGATTAAAAACTTGAAGCTAGAGCAAGAGGTGACCAGATATTCCTGGTCTTGTGTTCCTACTTGCTGTGTGTGTGTGTGTGTGTGTGTGTGTGTGTGTGTGTGTGTGTCAAACATTACGTGTGTAAATGCACTTACACACGTCATACTAAAGCTTAGCTGGGTCTAGCATTTACAGCAATAAAAGACTCTGTCTTGATCTGAAGCCAGTCAATATGTTCAGGGACCCACATCTCCCTTCTGGATTCCTGGACAGTAAAGATCAATCAACCAGTACCTTTGTGCTAATGGTTCCCAAATGTGGACTTGGAAATGCTGTTTTCTCCATTTGGGGCCTTTATCTTTGAAATTTCTGGTCCCTTTTTTTTTTTTTTTTTTGTAAACTTCAAAATTAAAATGAACCTTTTCCTTTCAAGCCCATCCTCTGACAGCAAGACACAACTGTTCCCAGGGGCTTGTTTTTCCTGTGGTGCCACACCATCCACTTCCCCTTACTGTAGGGAGGCAACTGGCCACAGACAAGGAGCAGCTGAGCTAGCACCCAGGCCTGGCTCAGCCACATCCTAGCCAGGAGCCCCCTGGGAAAACACACTACCTTCTATTTAGAGAGTCTGCCCACTCAGGCTGCTGTGGGCCGGTGAGGCGCCCACCTCCCTGGACACAGGTTTCATCACCTCCTTGGAGCTTTCTCAAACTCCACCCACTCTGCCCCACAATGAGCTCATTCTCTGGACTCCTCATACTCTCTGGTCCACTTTAGTTCTCTTTTGTGGCTTTTGCTATTTCATGACTGTCTGTAATAAGAAGGAATAATAACAGGAATTGGGACAGGCAAAACCTGAAAATGGGTGTAATTAACCCCATTTCACAGTGGCAAAGCCTGAAGTCTCGGCTGCTCCTGAGGTAGAGGTAGGAGGATCACTTTAGCCCTGGAGTTCAAGACCAGCCTGGGGAACACCACAAGCGTGGGTCTCAAGTAAAACAAAACAAACACACACAAAAACAAAAACCAATAACCCCAGTACACAGAGAAGAAATGAGGCCCCAAAGCGGGATGTAAGGTGTTCAGGATGCAGTTGGATCGGGTTTCAGGGTTCCTTTTCCCAAGCTGCAGAACTTCTGCTATGCTGACTGCCCCAGGACAGGGGACATGAATATGCATCACAAGATGAGCTGATGGGCTGATAACACAGGCAGGGAGCGCACGCTGAGTGAGGGCTGGAAAAACATACTGATGGACCAGTCCCTCTGAGCAAGCCCTTCTCTGGCTGCTGTATTCCAAGCATGACGCGATGGTGCATAACCGGAGCTTGCTGTCCCACTTGGCAGCTCGGACACACTAGTTCTTGCACAAGATGATACAAATTTCGAAAGGAAACCAAAAAAAATCCCAAGAGCAAAAATGGGGCTTTCTGCCTGGTCTGGAGGCCCAAACCGCAGGACGACTGGAGGCCCAGGCGACAGATAAACAGCCTTTGTCTCCAGATCGCCTTTCCCAATGCTTGGCAGCTCTGGCCTGCTGCATCAGCAGGAAGGCTGCCTGCAACCAACAGAGACTTTGGCTACTGCATCTTGAGGCCCTGGCAGAGGGAGCCCCGGCTGCCCCTCCGGCTCCTCTTGGCTGGCCAGAATCTGGGAGCAGCAACTGCATTTATTTTTGAGGTTAGGATGCAGTCTGGGGAGAAAGCCTTTTAATAAGCGAAGCCTGTTTGGCACAGATGAGGAAGAGTGGGGTCTTGTGCATGTGGTGCTGGGTGGGGTTCAGGATGCTGACCGGGAGCAAGCAGGTAAGGATGGCAAGGCAAGAGTCCAGCAGGCCTCACCAGCTCCACATGTCAGCCACTGCCATCTCTCATGTTTCCTCTTCTTCTGCTCTTCACTCACATCAGAACTCTCTGCCATCACTTGACTACTCACTATGGGTCAGGAGCGGGTGGGAATACTGCTGCTGTAACCCCTGCAGCAGCAAGTAACAAGGGCCTTCCTGGCCAGGGAAGAAGCAGGCAGAGGCTGTGTGTAGGCAGACAGACTAACAGAGCCTTGAGGAAAGGCAGTCTAGAATGTCTGGACATCTTTCAGTGTACAGGGCCTTTGGCCCAGCACTTGCATTTCTTGGGATTTATACTGAGTCAGGACACACACTAGTCAGATACCCACTATTCCCAAGAACAGAAGCTTTGGGCAGCCAGTTGTGGTGGCGCACGCCTTTAATCCCAGCACTCAGAGGCAAAGACGGGTGCATCTCTGTGGGTCTGAGACCAGCCTGGTCTACATAAAGAGTTCCAGAGCAGCCAGGGCCAATAATGAGACCCCATCTCCAAAAAGAGAAAAGAAAACCAAAGGCTATGGATGGTATAAATGTCCAACAGCGGGTGCTGGTTGAGTACGCTACGGACCGCCCATGTGATAGTGCTGCGTCCAACACAACAAAGCTGGGCACGCAGAAGAGAGGGCCTGGAGCCTGGGGCAGGGAGGTGCTCCAGAGGGAGGTGCTCCAGAGGGAGGTGCTCCAGAGGGAGGTGCTCCAGAGGGAGGGGCTCCAGAGGGAGGGGCTCCAGAGGGAGGGGCTCCAGAGGGAGGTGCTCCGGAGGGAGGGGCTCCAGAGGGAGGGGCTCCGGAGGGAGGGGCTCCGGAGGGAGGGGCTCCAGAGGGAGGTGCTCCAGAGGGAGGGGCTCCAGAGGGAGGGGCTCCAGAGGGAGGGGCTCCAGAGGGAGGGGCTCCAGAGGGAGGGGCTCCGGAGGGAGGGGCTCCGGAGGGAGGGGCTCCAGAGGGAGGGGCTCCAGAGGGAGGGGCTCCAGAGGGAGGGGCTCCAGAGGGAGGGGCTCCAGAGGGAGGGGCTCCAGGCTGCACGGTGGAGCACAGCAGAAACTGCCTACGGGAACCGAGCAACACACACGAGGAATGACCTGTTATTTCTCACACATACGTGTGAGCCTACGTCGTCGTCGGTTTGAACGTTCTGGTCAAGTATGTTCACTGACATGGCACAACACTTTCAGTAGACTGCTGAGCAGAAAGCCAGGTAGTAAGTAGTGCCTTTGGTTTTGGCGATTGTTTTTATTGCTCATGGTTTGTTTTGTTTTGTGTTAAAAAGTCTTGTGATGTGCCCCAGGCTGCCTTTAACTGGAAATCCTACTTCCCCAGCCTCAAAGTGTTGAGATCATAGACATGAGCTACTGTGCTAGGTGAGATTGCTGGTTTTCAGCCGATAAATCATCAAAGGGATGGGTCTGGAATAGCTAAATGTCAGGTCCAAAGAAGGAGCACAGGGCCTGGCGAGATGCTCAAAAGGAAAAAGCACTTGCTGCACAAATGTGACAACCTGAGTCCAATTTCCAGGACCAACAATGAGAGCAACAACTCCCCGGAAGTTGTGCTGGGACCTTCACGGGCACAGGCACTCACACTCACACTCACACTCACACTCACACTCACACATATACACGCATACACTAATAGATTTTAAAACATTTTAAAACAGAAGATGGCATACAGTGATTAAAAGCGCCATTCTCTTGCTTATGGTCCATAATCAGTACAGTACGTACAATAATATGTCTGGGGTCTGGTCAGATGGCTCGGTGGTTTAGAGAGGGCCTAAATCACATTCTTGGCACCCATGTGAGGTGCCTCACAACGCCCTGAAACTCCACCTCCAGGGACTAATGCCCTCTTCTGTCCTCCATGTGCACCAGCATACATGTACACACACACACACACACACACACACACACAGACACACACACTTACAAAAGAAAATATTCTCTTAAAGATGGGATGCTGTGGTCCAAGTTTCTCCTTAGTGGTTGTCTTGGTTTTATGACAGTTCTAAGGAGTGTCCCTCACTTAAGGGACAAGCACACAGGCAGCTAGGGCAGCTGTAACTAGGTTAGCCACCAGGTGGGCTGTCTGGGTTCTTCTGTCTGTCTCTGTGGCTCCATACTCTCCCCGCAGTTCCTAGCTGTCCTCCTCTGGATTGAGGGGACTCTGCAGGGTCTCATGCGCCCTCTCTGGTTCAGTTCTCAGTGCCTGCTCTCCTGTGCTCCTCTCATACCCAGCATTACATTCATGCGTTTATGCATCCACCCTGTTGGACTTGCCACTAACACAGTACTGAATACTATTAACACAACGCAGCAGGAAGGGGATCAGAAAAACAGAGATTCAGTGGGGTGCTGGCTAGAGTTATGTCAACCTGACACCAACTACAGTCATCTGAGAGGACAAAAAAGATCAGTGAAATGATTCTCATGGTATTCCGCTATCCTCACAGGATCGGTGCCTAGCCCAGTCATCATCAGGGAGGCTTCCTCCAGCAGCTGATGGGAGCAGATACAGAGACCCACAGCCAAACATTAGGTGGAGCTCAGGAACTCCAGAGAAGAGAGGAAGGAAGGATCACGAGGGCTTGAGGACACCAGGAGAGCACAGAATCAACTAAGCAGGGCTCACAGGGCTCACAGAGACTGGAGTCGTGACCACGGAGACTGCCTGGGTCAGCACCAGGCCCTCTGCATACACACTGTGGTTCTTTATTTAGCTTGGGGTTTTTGTTGGACTCCTAACAATTGGGAGTGGGGTGTCTCTGACTCTCTTGCCTACTCATAGGCTCTTTTTTCTCTTACTGGGTTGCCTCATCCAGCCTTGATATGAGGATATGTGTCTAGTCTTATTGCATCTTGTTATGCTGAGTTTGGTTGATATCAAACTCAGGGAGGCTTGCTCTTTTCTGAAGGGAAATGGAGTGGATCTGGGGGAGAGGGAAGGTTGGGGAGGGCTGGGATAAGGGGAGGGAGGGAAGGCTACAGTTGAGATATATTGTATGAGAGAAGAATAAAAAAAAAGAAATCTCAAAATAAACACAGATCCAAGGAGTCAAATATAGTCCTAGCAACATTTAGACACACTGGGGGGGAGGGGGAGGGGGAAGAATCCGGCTATAGGCAAGCCTGTAGACTATTTCCTAATTAGTGATTGATGGTTGAGGGCCCAGTCCACGGCAGGTGGTGCCATCCCTGGGCTGGTGGTCCTGGGCTCTCTAAGAAAGCAGGCTGAGCAAGCCAGTAAGCAGCACCCCTCCACTGTCTCTATGTCAACTCCTGCCTCCAGGTTCCTGCCCTGTTTGAGTTCCTGTCCTGACTTCCTTCAGTGATGGACTACAGTGTAGATGTGTAAGCCAAATAAACCCTTTCCTCCCTAACCAGCTTTTGGTCCTGGTGTTTGTCACAGCAGTAGAAACCCTGACTTAGACAATGGGGCTGAGCTCTTTGTCCAGAGAGACGTGGCTACACAGTTAGGGGACAACACATCCAAGACCACAGCACCTTGCGACGTCCCTCTCTTTGCTGCTCTTAGCACCAGTTTGAGGGCCTGACCATTTGTTTTGTGTATCCTCCAGCCAGAGAGGAGTGACAGGCACCCAGGTTACCTGTGGAACCTCCACGGCAGACATCGAGAAGACATGAAGGCAGAAGATCTTGGAGCCGTTGTAGCCAACCACGAAGCCCTGCAGCTTCTGCTGGTGTACCGGGAAGGTGCTGGCCTTGATGTTGAGGTAGCCTCCTCCGGAGAAGCAAAGCATGTCCTCACACTGGGTGTTCCAGGCCACACTATTGGCGTTTGGTTCCTGGGGGACAAAGGCCTGTAAGGCTCCGGCTCCACTCCCAGTTTTCACTCCACGCCCATGTTAAAGCCTGAGTTGCACTGAGTACTGACAGCAGGATGAAGGGAAAGGAGTGGAGGGGGCCAGAGAAGAAGGGATGGGCACCTGCTCTACGTACCGGGGTGATGGAAATCGTGGACCTGCGCTGTTTTCAAAATGATTACCCCCATAGTTTACTCACTGCACAGTAAGTGGAGATTCAACGAGGTAGGATTTCATTTCTACTAGAGGAGGAGGGGGGTGCTGCTCTGTGCTGGTTGATTCTCCAGCACACACAGACACACAGACGCACAGACACACACACCCCCACCTAACCAAGAAGGAGGCTGAAAGTGTCACCCCTGGAGATGAACACAGTGACTGCTTTTGGGTGAGTGAAATTGTGAGAGATTTCTATTTGTTTTGCCACCCCCACCCACCCACCCACCCCCCTCCGTTGCTTGTCTGGTTTCTTTGGTCATGAACATCCATTGTTTTTTTATAATAAGCAAAAGAATGGGGAGTTCTTTTCAAAGTTAGAAAACAATACATTGTCTCTGCATTTACAGTCTCACACTAAGAGCATCACCCTGGGAGGTGCCCTCTCCACCAGTGTCCTGCTCAGCCCTGGAAGCCTGGGGCAGGCAGAGGCTCATCCCTCTCTACCAAGAACAGTGGTTCTCAAAACTCCTTTAGCAAACCTCTATCTCCAAAAAATACTTACATTAGAATTCATGACAGTAATAAAATTACAGTTATGAAGTAGCAATGAGAATAATTTTATGGTTGGGGGGTCACCACAGCATGAGGAACTGTGTTACAGGGCCACAGCATTAGAAGGATTGAGTGCCACTGGTCTAGAATCTTCTACCATGCACATGGACTACTTTTTTTCCCCCTGAGACAGGGTTTCTCTGTGTAGTTTTGGAGCCTGTCCTGGATCTCGCTCTGGCTTCAAACTCTCAGAGTTTGCTGAGTTTAGGGAGAAGGAACATGTAAGGCCAGTTGTGCCCAGCACTGAGCACACGGAAGCGTCTCGTTTGCTCCTGTGCTGTTCTGTGGTAACTTTAGGAGAGGGTAACTTCCAGCTTCATGTTAGCATAGGCAGGGAGTTGGCTTAGTTAGCACGCACAAGGCCCTGGGTCTGATCTCAGCACGGTGTAACTTAGGTGTGGTGGTCTGCATCTCTAGCCCCAGTACTTAGGAAGTGGAGGTAGAGATCTTCCTCAAGTTTATCTTCGGCTATAGAGAGCTGGAGGTCAGCCTGAGCTATGGAGGTCATCCTGAGCTATGGAGAGACTCCGTCTTTAAAAAAAAAGTTTCAGTTGGGTGGTGGTGGTGTACGCCTTTAATCTCAGCACTCGAGAGGCAGGGGCAGGCGGATCTGAGTCCGAGGCCAGCCTGGACTATAGAGTGAGTTCCAGGACAGGTTTGAAAGCTACAGAGAAACCCTGTTTCGAGGGGAAAAAAAAAGTTTCATGGTAGCCATAGGTGAAACAGACTCACAGAGATCCACGAACCCAGCTCAGTCCAAAGACAATGGGTACGTGTTCTTCCCCTGAACCCTCTGCTTCCTCTATAACATGAAGTGCTAATAACTGAAGTCCTTTTGGGGCTATTGGCAGCCAAGTATCTCTGTCCAACTGACTAAGGAAAGCCAGGCACTTCTACCCTGCTGGTTCTGTTGCCAAGGACAAGAAGGGCCTTGGGAGAGCATCCATGTCTACCCACGATATTGAGAAACCCTGCAAGGAGAAACCAGAGAGCCGAGGCTCCAGCCGCAGGGGGTCCTCACTTCACATAAATTAGCTCTGACCACTTACAATGCCCTAAAGGAGCCAGGAACAGCCTAGCCTGGCAGAAAACCCACTAGGTGTTAGGTACAGTCTTTGGACTACTCATCGACACCCTTCTTCCAGCCACAGGAAACAATGCCCATCCCCAAGGATCCACAAGTCACTGTGCTACAGCACCCTGTGGAGGAAGCTAAGGGTGAGGCTCCACCTGTCTTTCCCAGTGTGCCCTAGGTACTGGGAGGAACTGGCAGTCCTGGGCAAGGGGGTCACAGACTTCAGCAAAAGAATCCCCACCACACATTAACCTGGCCACCAGACTCGTCACCATCATCTCAAGTACTGTTTCCTGCTCTGTGAAAACTGTTGCTGGCCAGGAAACCGATGCTCAAGAGGCTGGCCGGGCCACCTGTTCCCTGGAGCCTTTCAGAATCCACACCTGTGCTAAGTTCTAGTCCTTTGCTGTTCCTCCCAGACAGGCCTGGGTACGGGCCTTCTTGCACACCTCTATCTAGGACGTCACCTGAAAAAGCAGCTCCTTGGTGTGGATGTCATACACCAAGCACGTGTCATTTTCATCCACCACAGCCAGCTTGTTCCGGGAGGCACTCATATCCAAGCAGCGCACGGCTGTGGCCTGCTTCAGCAGGACAATGGCGAAGAGATTGTCCACAAAGATCTTCAGGATCTGGCGAAATTTCAGAGAAATAAGTGTGAGTCACCATGGCAACCAGACCCTGGCCCACTGCCAGGCTGTTGGCGTCCCATGTGTTCTCCAAGAACAGCACCCACCAACTCCTCCAGAAGCTGTGTGCAGAGAGAAGACTCATTAAATAAAGCAGGGTGTGTGGGGGAGAGCCCAGGAGAATGGTTCGCTGGAGGTCACTGAAGCTGTAACAAGAGGCCCGAGATATGCCACCAAGACATGCCACACTCCCTCTAACGTCTGTGCGGACTGGGGACATTTTTAATGACACTGCTCAAACTGCAGGGTGGGGACCATACACACACACACAGGACGGGCTACTGTAAACACAGGCGAGACATCTGGTATAAAGTAATAATGACCGTGCTGCTGGTGACAGCTGCCATTCATTGACGTCCCTGTTTTTGACAGCCCTGTGAAGAAACATAGTATTGCCTTTATTTGGAAACCGTGAGCCTCAGAGAGCAAACTGATCTGCCCAGGGCCATACAGCCAGTGAGAAGCTAAAAAAGAATGTGGTCCCAGGTCTGCCTGACCCCAAAGTCATGCTCTCGGCCTCACATGAGACCTGACAGCTGACTGGGGGCGGGGGGACTCTCCCCAGCTCGGGTGCTACTGCTTGACAGCTCCCACTGATCTCATGCTCCGCAACTTCCGTCCCCAGCAAAGACCTGACAAGCCTCAGCCACGAGCCATCTGCCACACAGCTTGGCTCTCGGGCTAATGCAGTTATATTTTCACTTTCAAATTTCTATGTAGCCCACATAGAACTTTTCTTATTTCAAGCAAAGAATGCAGATGAACACACACACACACACACACACACACACACACACACACACACACACAAATCTGTTCAACTTTCATATAGCCTAGATTTCCTAGTCCATGTGTCCAAACAGCACATTTTCTTTCAGCTTCTAGTAACAGTCTAAGGACCAGCACTATGTGGGACCCAGACAGCAGTACTGGTTAATCCAGGCACTGCCTAATAGGGCTCTGACCTCGTGAACAATCTCTGCCTGCCTCTCCAGCAATCCACTAAAGCTGTGGCTCCAACAAATCCCACCTTTGGGGTGACCTTAAGCCCACTAATCCCTGCTACGTGCAGCCTGGGAGCCATGGCACCAACGGCCGGGTGTGAGCATGCTGTGAGTCCGAGGGCCGGAGTCTGAAGCTACCTTTATGAGAGGAAACTCCAGGCTGCCCGCAGCCCATCTCAGGTCACTCCAGACAGCAAACCTGTGCCTGCCTGGGTAACAAGCCGGATGGTAGCATGGCAAGACTCACCTGGCCGTTCTTCAGGCCCACCAACAGACCTTCCCTTCCAGCCGGGCCACCGATCACCTTGATGTACCGAATGAGAGACTCCATCTGCCACTCCCTTTCCTTCACTCCGCTGAAGGACAGGCACTGCAGCCGTTTCTCCTGGCAAGCAACCCAGACTCAGCAAGGAGGGTCAGAGAATGCGCGCTCCCAGCCCCTCGGGGAAACCTTCCTGCACCATGAGCAACGACCTAACCCAGGCTCTTCCCCCAAAGGCTTCCCCAGGAGCCATCTTCAACAGGGACCTCCAGAGTCAGAGGCAGCAGAACACTGCCTTGCCACGCTGTTCTCTAACTTGGGGTAGCCCTAAGTGGCAAGAGGCTCAAGACTCTCACACAGTTTTGATCCTAGTTTTACAATGGCTCCTAAAGGAGTTCTTCCTTTTTATAGTTTCCAACAGGCCTGGGCAAGATTAGGTCCACCCACAGTAGGCTTTTTCTCAACGTCTTTCCAAAACTCCTCTTGGAACTGACCTAGAGAATTTTAGAAATCTATGCTAAGAAGAACTTTTCTTTGAAAAAAAAAAAAAAAAAAACAACCTCTTAGAGACTTTGGTCTGTAATTCCAAGTACTCTTGAGGCTGGGGCAGGAGCACAGCAAGTTCAAGGCTTGCCCGGGCTACAGACTGAGTTCACGGCCAGCATGGTGAACTTAGTGAAACCTAGTCTCAAAATACAAAGTAATTAAAAAAGTGAGGGGGGCAGGGCGGTGGTGGCCTTTAATCCCAGCACTCAAGAAGCAGAGGCAAGTGGATTCCTGTGAGTTCAAGGCCAGCCTGGTCTGCAGATCAAGTTCCAGGACAGCCAGGGCTACACAGAGAAATCCCAACTCAAAAAACATATAAATATGATAAAGGTGGTGGAGAGAGAATAGACTGGGGATGTGGCTCAGTTGTAGAGAACTTACCTACTATAAACAATGCCCTGGGTTCAATTCCCAATGCCTCAAGACAAAAAAAAAAAAAAAAAAGGAAAGAAATCTCTCAAAAGGTAAAACTTCTGCTTATAAACATTTATCCTAGGGGGCTGGAGAGATGGCTCAGCACTGGCTGCTCTTCCAGAGGTCCTGAGTTCAATTCCCAGCAACCACATTGTGGCTCACAACCATCTATAATGGGATCTGATGCCCTCTTCTGTCATGCAGGCATACAAGCAAATAGAGCACTCATATACATAAAATACATGAATAAATAAATCTTTAAAACAATTTCTCCTAGAGAGGTATGACATGTCTTCAACTTAGCACTCAGGAGGTGGGTGGGAATGGGGATCATGAATTTGAGGCCAGCTTTAGCAACCTAGTAAATCACAATCTCAAAACAAAACAAAAAACAAATAAACCTTCATGGTGTAGAACATCTTACAATACATCTAATCCCGTACAATACAAAATGCTCCATAGCACAAAATCATTCCAGCTATGGCCTTCCTTTCTCTAAAAACTGATTCATCTAGATGCCAATGCAGCAGAAGCCAACGGCCAGCCACCGGGTCCCCTGAGGTGGACACCTGTTCTGGGGGAGGGGGACCAGCTGCCCACCTGGCACAAGATGATGTGGTCAGCGCACACCACCAGCAGGTTGCACTCAAACTTCTTGGCGATTTTCTCCTTCACCCGGTAGTGCATGTCTGCCGAGTCGTCTGAATACAACTCATAGATGAGGATCTTCTCTGGCAGCTGGATAGCTAATCGATTTTTGTAGATGGCAATTTTCTTGACAAGCTCTCTGCATTTAATCCGAACTGTCAAATGGGGGATAAAAAGACTCTAGCAAAAGGTTGTTAAGTAAGGTGAAAGGCAGAGAAATTAAAAGCCATCATTTATTTATTTAATGCTTCTGACAATTAGAGTGAGACACTGTCATTAAAAAGTCTTTACAGGGGCTGGAGAGGCGGCTCAGTGGTTGGAGCACTGCTGCTCTCATAAAAGACTCGGGTTTGGTTCCCAGTACCCACATGGAGGCTCACAAACACCTGTAACTCCAGTTCCTGGGGATCTGATGCCCTCTTCTGGCCTTCTCTGGCACTGCACATACATGGTACACATATGTAGGCACTTGGACACACATACACAAAGTAAAAGTAAATAAATCCTTTTAAAATTCTTCCCAGAGCACCTGCCATGTGCAGGCAGCTGTGCTGAGTGGGATCCAGAGCTACATATGGTACAATGTGTGCAGCCCAAAGCCACACTGAAGGAAGTCAAGCAGTGAATGCTACCACCATTGTCCTATGTGCCTGAGCTCCTTCCTCTGCACAGCAAAGGCGGCCCCTAGTGATCAAGAGCCCACCACGATGACCATTTCACAGCTGGCCACACCCCTGCAACCTTCCTGACCACAGGGGCTTCCATGAGGTAGGCTCAGCCTCTCTACAGACCAAGTGGGGTAAACAACCCCAAGAGGACACTGCTGAGCTGGCCCAGTGGCTACATTAACACCGCCTAGATGGAAATTTTGAAACACAGATCTACCCAGGCAGGGACAAAAGAAGCCAAACTGAATCTGCAGGATGGCCCCTAACTGGGACCTCTATGCAAAGACACCTGGCCGTACCTGGTTAGCCACATCTAGATAGCATATGTGGTCAGCCCATCCAGATATGAATATGGCTGAGTGGAACTTGGCCTCCTTAACCAATAGAGCTACTTAGGTGAACAGAAAGGGAACTGTCAGAATTTAGACTATGTGAAGCTGGATCCCTGTGGTCATTTGAATGAAAATGGCGCCCAGAGACTCATAGGGAGTGGAGGTATGCCCTTGTTGGAGTAGGTGTGGCCCTTGTTGGAGTAGGTGTGGCCTTGTTGGAGTAGGTGTGGCCTTGTTGGAGTAGGTGTGGCCTTGTTGGAGTAGGTGTGGCCTTGTTGGAATAGGTGTGGCCTTGTTAGAGTAGGTGTGACCTTGTTGGAGGAAGTGTGTCACTGGGGATGGGCTTTGAGGTTCCAAATGCTCAAGCCAGGCCCAGTGTCACTCTCTCTTCCTGCTGCCTGTCAATCCAGATGTAGAACTCTTAGCTCCTCCAGCACCATGTCTGCCTGCACACTGCCATGCTCCCCACCATGATAATGGACTAAACCTCTGAAACTGTAACCCAGCCCCAATTAAATGTTTTATAAGAGTTGCTGTGGTCATGGTGTCTCTTCACAGCAACAGAAACCCTAAGACAACCCCTGATCCTCTGACCCAGCCTGAGCCTATCCACTGCCCTACTTGTCTAGCAGAAGCCACCAAGAGACAAATAGAAGCTGAGGGGAAAGTATGCCAAAGTGGCTCTGAGCAGACAGGGTAAAGGTCCACCAAACTGCATGCACGTCAGCCATTGTAGCTCTGATCTGTCAGCTTCTGTGTCTCAAGGAGTCCATTTACACCTTGGAATTGTTTGTAAAATGTAGTGAGCTGGTGCTTTTTTTGTTTTGTTTTGATGGGTTTTATTGCTTTTGCTGGATCCTCAAAGGGATCTGTATCCTCCTTCTACTGCCAAAAGTTAAAACAAGATAGAGGAGAGATGCCAGGCGGTGATGATGCACGCCTTTAATCCTAACACTCAGGAGGCAGAGGCGGGTGGATCTCTGTGAGTTCGAGGCCAGCCTTGTCTACAGAGTGAGTTCCAGGACCCTGTCTTGGGGGTTGGGGGGGCAGATCAGGGGAGACATTTCCTATTATTTTGGGTGTCCTGTCCCCTGTGCCCACCTCTTGGCTAGTATTTATAAGCAGAGGCAAGCCAGCCTGCCTCTTACCTTTCTGCTCTGTGATCAGGTGTTGTACGATGACGTCTGTCATACTGTCCCTGAAGGCATACCGATCCTTGTAGAGTCCGTGGACTGTGCTGAAGATAAGCTGGTAGAAGGAAATGCTGCCATCCTGGCAGCCTACCACCTGTTTAGAAGACAGCTGTCAATCTCAAGCTGGGAGGAGAAGCAGCCCACCCCCCATTAGGAGTGATGGCCAAGAGTCTGCCTGGCTGACCTGATGCTCAAGGCCTCCTCTAGAAATGCTCTGCAGGATGAACTTCCTCTACTCACCACATAGTTGGAGTCAGGTTTCACTCTACAGGTCCACACCCAGGAGTTCTGCTCCCCAACGGTCCCCAGTCGCACTCCATCCTTGGTGAAAAGAGATACCTGCTTGTCTGAACCCCCCACCAAAATGTACTCTCCTTTGGTGAAGTAGCTGATGCAGCAGGGGTCAAAGTTCAGTGGCCGATCCTTTCCAATCTGAGGAAAGAGACCATACACCAAGTGAGAGACCATTCCCGAACCCCAGTAAGGGCTTCCCCACCAACATCAGTGAGGTAGCGGGAGTGCTGGGGACTACCTAGCCTTACCTCCTAAGCTATCCCATTCCCTCCACAGACTTCTCCACCTCTGGGACACCCACACCTCCCCCTCAACCTATCCAAATCCTCGGCTCCTAAAATCAGCAATGCCTGACCTAACTGTCGCAAACTGGGCCTAACCTCCTCAGATTGATGACTGGAGGCCAGGGAGGCTTTCCCTCCTTCATCCGCCTCACAAATGGCCAGCAGCTCACCTCAGCTTCTTTTCTCTGTTTATTTTCTGGCTTATCTCACTTGAAAAGACGGCCCTTTATTCTTTATTCAGTTTAAGGAAAACAAGTCTAAAAACCTGGTTCTTGCTTTAAGGTTTAGGGTCAATTTACAAATATTTTCCTATGTATAAATCTAGTAAAAGTGAGCAATCAATTGGTACTGACAGTTTAATGAATGCAATTTTGAACATATAAAACCACCGAAATAGTCAGCTCCAATTTCAACTTAGTTAATTCCCTTCAACTCATTTAAACTACAATTATAAATTTAGTATGCTCACTTTTTCTTTCCTTTTTAGGAATTTCAAATGCCTAACAACCGAAAGCTTCCCTCCTACCTCCCAGGACTACAAAGTCTAACAAGAAGCCCCAGCACGTGTCACGACACCAAGGGCTGACAGCTGCGGGCTGGGGCTTAGGACTTCCTCTTGCAAGCAACAACCGTCAGCTCAGGACCAACCGGGACCAACTGAAGCAGGGCTGGGTGCCCAAAGCAGGCAGAAACCGGGCCAGAGAAAGAGCCTCAGGCAAGCTCCTCTGAACATTGGCCCTGTGAGCTCCTTTTTGGGTGGGCACAGCATCTGAGAGCTGGGCAGTGAGGTGGGATGTTGCAGAACGGAAGGTCGGAAGGAAGCCCCTTCTGCCCACAAGCTCTGCTTACTTTCTGGAAACCTGGAGCTGCCCATGCACGAGACTCATAACCAAAGAATTGTACTGAGATCTCAGCTGCTGCTCACTGAAAATATGGAGCAGAGCACAGCAAGGGCAAAAATACCCCCACCCCCACCCGGCACACACGCACATGTGCACACCTTCAGAGGAACAGGAGAGGAGTGAGTTTCTATGATGTACCATTTACAGAGTGCCCAGAATATAATTCAAATGTTCAAAAAGTAGGAAACAGTGGGGCTGGAAGGATGGCTCAGAGG